TTAGGAGTGGAGTTACTGGGTCATATGGTAACTGTATGTTTACATTTTTGAGGAACTGTCAGACTGTTTTCCAAAGTGACTACATCATTTTACATTCTCAGCAGTGAACAAGGATTCCCGTTTCTCCTCATCCTTTACATTTGTTATTTTGTCTTTTTGATTCTAGCCATTTTAGTGGGATTAAAGTGATATTTCATTGTGGATTTTTTAAAGCATTTTTTTAAAATACATTTTTTCTTGGTTTCAGAGATGAAAGGAGAGGGAGAGAGAGATGGAAACATCAGTGATGAGAGAGAATCATTGATCAGCTGTCTCCTGCCTACTGGGGATTGAGCCCACAACCTGGGCATATAACCTGACTGGGAATCAAAACTGTGACCTCCTGGTTCATAGTTCGAATCTCAACCACTGAGCCACGCTGGCTTGGCTAAAGTATTTTTTATTAAAGTATAGTTGGTACACAATATTATTAGTTTCAACATAGTGATTCGATATTTTTATATACATTGTGGTATGCTCAACACACTAAGTCAAGTAAAGTTGCAAAGTTAATCACACTACTATTGACTGTATTGCCTTTCACTATTTTCACCCATCCCTCCACCTTCCTCCCCTCTGGCAACCATCAGTTGTTCTTTGTTTCTATGTTTTATTTTCTTTCTTTTTTTTTTTTTTTTTTTTTTTGATTTTCTAAAAAAACCCCACATATTAGTGAAATCATGTGGTATTTTTCTTTCTCTGACTTATTTCACTTAGAACAATACCCTCTCGATCCATGTTGTTGTGGATGGCAATATTTTGTTCTTTTTATTGCTGATCATGGTAGTGTTGATTTCCACTTCCCTGGTTGCTAATTGAACTCAGTTTTAGACATGTTTATTTTTGTTACCTGAAAGCATATAGGTGGATATGTTAAATAGGCTGTTTGGACTTTAATTTGGAGCTTAGAGAAAGAGCTGAGTAGTTGTAGGTTGAGTGAAATTGGCCATTGTGTGGATGGAACAAAGCAGAGAGTGTGTGAAACCTGAGAAAGAAAATGGCTGAAGTCCAAAGCCTGAGGAACATTAGTAATTAAAGGACAGGAGATGAAACAGAGCCTGCAGAGGATACAGAGGGATGTGGGAAACCAGGAGAATGTGGAAACTGATGAAATAATATTTTAAGTTGGAAGAAAGGGACAATAATATAAAACATTGTTGAGGATTCAATAAAATTAAATAAAATGGATGAAAAGTGACCTTCAGATTTTGTAATAGGTAAGTCATTTCAATAGGGGAACATGGGCTGAGGCCAGATTAAAATAAATTCAGGGGTGATTGAGAGGTAAAGAAGAGGGCTCAACAAATGTAGACACAGTTTTAAAGAAGTTTCTGAAGGGGAAGAGATAAGTTGGGTGGGGTCAAGAGATTTCATTTCAGATGAGATGGAAGATGTCAAAAATATTAGAGGAATACTCAGACTAGTAATCTTCACAAGAAGGCAGAAGGCAGTGAGATCCTGAGCCTATTTTATAATAGGGAGTGATGGAGAAATGTGTGTCTTGAGGGCAGGGGGTTGATGATTTCTTCGGCTTCTGTTTTCCCTGTGAAGATAGAAATGAGGCTGTCTGCACTGAAGGACATAGAAGGTGATATGTTCAAAGAAAAGAGTGGAGAAGGTTTGAAATAGACACTGTGGAGAATGGGAAAGAAAAAGCCAACTATGAAAATATAAATAATATTTCTAGACTGCATTAGAAATGTGAGACAATACATTCACAATGGTACTGCTTTTCATGGTGTGTGATTTTTCTCCAGTAGTATTTAGCAGTGTACCACTGGGGTAGGGAAGGCAGTTAGTGCTTTAGTTCAGGGTTTGGGTCTTTTAGCCCAACATAACAGAATGGAGAATATAGGTAAAAAAGTGGACTGTTAAGTTGAAGTGGAGCATGGAATTTAAGCTGGATTGGATAGGGTATTAATTCAGTATAATACTGTAATTTTGGACCCCAAATTCTTTTTCTTTTTTTTTTTTTTTACACATAGGAATTTTTATAAATGTATATATGTAGAAAGCATAACAATAAAATGTATACAATCAAAATAAAAGAATAAAAACTAAATCAAAAGGTAGATTAAGAGAATAAGGCCTTGTGGCCATATTCAAGGATAATTCAAATTTAGAAAACATATCAAAGTCATTAAATATACTATAATAACTAATTAAAAATAAATAATGTTATGTTATAAGTATATGTTCTTAAAAGAGGCATTAATAACATATAGAAACCATTCTTAATATAAGGAACTTTTCTTTTCATGTTTTTTTTAAAAATATTTATTGTTCAGATTATTACATTTGTTCCTCCCCCCCCACCCCCCCCATAGCTCCCCTCAACCCGGTTCCACCCCAACGTCTGCCCTTACCCCCACCACCCACTGTTCTTCTCCATAGGTGTACAATTTTTGTCCAGTCTCTTCCCACACCCCCACACCCCTTTTCCCCCCGCCCCGAGAATTGTCAGTTCACTCCCTTACTATGCCCCTGATTCTGTTATATTAACCAGTTTATTCTGTTCATCAGATTATTTATTCACTTGATTTTTAGATTCACTTGTTGATAGATGTGTATTTGTTGTTCACAATTTGTATCTTTACCTTTTTCTTCTTCTTCCTCTTCTTATAGGATACCTTTCAGCATTTCATATAATACTGTTTTGGTGGTGATGAACTCCTTTAGCTTTTTCTTATCTGTGAAGCTCTTTATCTGACCTTCAATTCTGAATGATGGGTTTGCTGGGTAAAGTAATCTTGGTTGTAGGTTCTTGGTATTCATCACTTTGAGTATTTCTTGCCACTCCCTTCTGGCCAGCATAGTTTCTGTTGAGAAATCAGCTGACAGTCGTATGGGTACTCCCTTGTAGATAACTAACTGTTTTTCTCTTGCTGCTTTTAAGATTCTCTCTTTGTCTTTTGCTCTTGGCATTTTAATTATGATGTGTCTTGGTGTGGTCCTCTTTGGATTCCTTTTGTTTGGGGTTCTCTGCGCTTCCTGGACTTGTAAGTCTATTTCTTTCACCAGGTAGGGGAAATTTTCTGTCATTATTTCTTCAAATAGGTTTTCAATATCTTGCTCTCTCTCTTCTTCTGGCACCCCCATAATTCGGATGTTGGTACGTTTGAAGTTGCCCCAGAGGCTCCTTACACTATCTTCATATTTTTGGATTCTTTTTTTCTTTTTGCTTTTCTGGTTGGGTGTTTTTTGCTTCTTCGTATTTCAAATCTTTGACTTGATTCTTGCGATCCTCTAGTCTACTGTTGGAACTCTGCATAATATCCTTTATTTCAGTCAGTGTATGCTTAATTTCTAGTTGGTCCTTTTTCATAACCTTGAGGGTCTCACTAGATTTCTTGAGGGTCTCACTAAATTTATCGACGGTCTCACTAGATTTATCAAGGGTCTCACTAAATTTATCGGAGGTTTCTAGAAAATTCTTGAAAAACCTTATATCTGTGGTTTTGAACTCTATATCCAGTAGTTTGCTTTCCTCCATTTCTGTCATTTGTGACCTGTTTCTTTGTCTCTGCATTTTGGCTGCTTCCCTGTGTTGATAGAGTGGCTTTCTATGTTAGGTGTCCTATAGGGCCCAGCGGCTCAGCCTCCCCAATTACCTGAGGTAGACACTCTTGGTGCACCCCTTTGTGGGCTGTGTGCACAGTCTTGTTGTAGTTAAGCCTTGAATGTTATAAGTATCACTGGGAAGAATTGACCTCCAGGGCAATTGGCTGTGAGAATCAGCTGTGTCTGCAGTGGGAGTACTTCTGAGCTGGGGTCACTGTTCTGGGGCAAGACTTGCTTCAGTGGGGCTTTGGTGCTCACAGAGTCTGCCCCCTGAGTGTGTCCCTTATGGATCTGAGGAGTTGTAATCTGGATGGTCCCACTCTGACCACTGGGTACACTGGCTCTTGGATCTCTAAGGAGGTGCTAATTTAGCCTGTGCCTGAGGCTACCCAGCAGGAGCTATGGAGAGATCTGTGGATTCTTCTTCCAGCTTGAGGTTTGGAGGTGCCCAGATGAGGCCCAGCTGTGAAGCAGTGCAAACTGCTGTGGGGCCTTGGGCCTTCTTTTGGATGTTCTGGGTCTCTCTGATCCAGCTGCAGTTTGGTATGTAATTTTCAGGTTGCAGAGGGCCACGCCTTTCATATGCAAAAGCCTCTGAGCACAGCTTGGGTGGGTGGGGTCTCAGCAGATCAACAGGGTGGAGCAAGCAGCTATGGCTGCTCCCCAGATCTACCCTAAGAGGCCCCGCGTCTCAGTGTCCCCGTAATCATTGCAAGCACCTTTGAGAGAAAGCTGCCCTCGAGTTCTGCCTGATGCCAGACAGTCCAGTTTCTCCTTGTATGAATCTGGGTCCACAGAGACTCACCTGGAAGTGGAGTTCAGAGCAGTTTGGAACTTGAGACTCCCTCCTGATTGAAAAAGACAACTGCGTCCTCAGCTGCCAGCCCTCTCCACGTGCGCCACGTCCTCAGCCACAAGCTCTTTCCACGTGGGCCCCGTCCTCATCCGCCAGCCCTTTCGGCGTGCGCCTCCGTACCTCTGCACTTTACTTCCGCACCTCCTCTGAGTCTCAGTGCTTTTCTCTTTCCTTTTAGTTGTAGAATTTCCACTCAGCCCGCCTTTCTGTGATTCTGGATGATGTCCATTTTGTCTTTTAGTTGTATTTTTGAAGTGGTTGTGTGAGGCAGCAATTTCCAGTGTTTACCTATGCCGCCATCTTGGTTTCCTACCCCAAATTCTTTTTAGTTACCATAGTAGTATCTCACTATAGTATCATGTCATTTTATAGCAAATTAAAATTTCTGTGCAAGTTTACTTGCTGCTGTACTAGTCTAATTATTACTGTAATCCAGATTTTGCTTGGTACCATTTGATTAGTCTGTAATTTTTGTAAATATAATTTGTAGAATTTGTGAATGTACTTTTTAAAACACATTTTTAAATCTTACGTTTTGATTCAGTGTGAAACTGCAGCACAACAGGAATTTGCTGAAGAACTTCAGAAGCGAGAACATTTTTTAGTTGAAAGAGAAGAACTGCTGTTCAGACATGAAACTGCCTTGAGCAAAATCAAAGGTGTGGAAGAAGAAGTTCTTACAAGATTTCAGATTATGAAGGAGGTAACTGTAGCATTTGATTTTAGAGTTTCTCTTTTTCCTCTTAATTTAGATCCACTAGTTATTAGCATTTGCCACAGAGGCTTCATTTTTTCTTCCCAACCACTTTCACACACACACATTTTTTTTCCTGGGTGATTTATTAGTAACTTGCAAAAATCATGACACAGCACCCCTAAAAATGTCCTTAGTATTATAGATAGTACTTATTTTAGAAGTATGTATTCCCTAACAATAAGTATATTCTCTATACTATTATCATATTAGGAAATTAATACTAATTAAGTCATTTAATTTAATGTACAATTCACACTCACTTTCCCACTTATTTTTCAAAATGTCTTTTATTGCTTCTTTTGTTATATATTTGGATCAAGAAACTGGATATAATTCATGCATTATGTTTCATTTTTATATCTTGGTGCTTTCTTCTAATCTAGAGCAGTCAACTCTACTATTTTTGTTTTTTGAGAGACACTTCTTTGAAGACTTCAGGCCAGTATTCTTTTTTTTTTTAAAATACATTTTATTGATCTTTCACAGAGAGGAAGGGAGTGGGTAGAATGTTAAGAAATATCGATGAGAGAGAGACATCAATCAGCTGCCTCTTGCACACTTCCCACTAGGTATGTGCCCGCAACCAAGGTACATGTCCTTGACCGGTATTGAACCTGGGACCCTTGAGTCCGCAGGCCGACGCTCTATCCACTGAGCCAAACCGATCAGGGCCACGCCAGTATTCTTATAGAGCAGCGGTCACCAACCTTTCAGACCTCACGGACCACCAGTGGTCTGCAGACCACTGGTTGGCCACAGCTGCTCCAAAGGTTTCCTTAAACCAGTGGTCTCCAACCTTTTGGACCTCACGGATCACCAGTGGACCACTGGTTGGTGACTGCTGTTATAGAGTATGTCTTATTCTGGATTTGCCTATTGTTTCCTAATGATTATATTCAGATTAAATGTTTATGTCAAGAATGTTATATAGGTTGAATTGTAGCCTTCTTTATTTCATATCAAGAGATACGTTCCTGTACGTATAACACATAGCATAAAATTCTGTTTTAAAAGTCTTATAATCATCACCATAATCAAGATAATAATTTCAGCACTCCAAGTTTTCTTATGCTGCTTTGTAGTTATCCCTATTCCCCCAGTCTCAATCCTTGAAAACAACTGATCTTTTTTTTGTCCCTGCCTTTCCGAAAATGTCATGTAAATAGAATCATTACATGATTTTTTATATCTTTGCTTTTTTAGCAGCAAGTCAATTATGCTGTATCTCCCTAAGCTTTTAAAAAAATCTTTATTGTTGTATTATTACAGATGTCCCCTATTTTCTCCCCATTGCCCCCCTCCACTAGGTTCCCAGCTTGCCCCAGGCCTTCACCTCCCTACTGTCTATGTCCATAGGTAAGATATTTGGTTAATCTCTTCCCGCCCCCCTCCTTCCTTCCATCTGAGATTCATCAGTCTGTTCTATGCCTCTGATTTTATTTTATTCACCAGTTTATTTTGTTCATTAGATTTCTTGTTCATTTATTTTGATTTTTAGATTCAATTGTTGATAGATATGTATTTGTTGCCATTTTATTATTCATAATTTTTATCCCTTTTCCTTCCATCCTCCTCCTCCCATGTCTTACTGGTTTGGTGGTGATGAACTCCTTTAGCTTTTTATTGTCTGGGAAGCTGTTTCTCTGACCTTCAATTGTAAATGAGAGCTTTGCTGGGTAGAATAATCTTGGATGTAGGTCCTTGCTATTCATCACTTTGAATATTTCTCGCCACTCCCTTCTAGCCTGCAAAGTTTCTGATGAGAAATCAGCTGACAGTCATATGGGCACTCCCTTGAAACTAACTGCTTTTCATTTTCTACTTTTAAGATTCTCTCTTTATATTTAGCCTTTGGCATTTTATTTTATTTTATTATTATCTTTAATTAAATCTTTATTGTTCAGATTATTACAGTTGTTCCTCTTTTTTCCCCCCATAGCTCCCCTCCACCCGGTTCCGACCCCACTCTCTGCCATGACACCCCCCGCCACACATACACTGTCATCATCCATAGGTGTACGATTTTTGTCCAGTCTCTTCCCGCACCCCCACACCCCTATCCACCCGAAATATGTCAGTCCACTCCCTTTCCATGCCCCTGATTCTATTATATTCACCAGTTTATTCGGTTCATCAGATTTTTAATTCATTTGATTTTTAGATTCTCTTGTTAATAGATATATATTTGTTGTTCATGATATTTATCTTTACCTTTTTCTTCTTCTTCCTCTTCTTAAAGAATACCTTTCAGCATTTCATATAATACAGGTTCGGTAGTGATGAACTCCTTTAGCATTTTCTTATCTGTGAAGCTCTTTATCTGACCTTCAATTCTGAATGATAGCTTTGCTGGGTAAAATAATCTTGGTTGTAGGTTCTTGCTATTCATCACTTTGAATATTTCTTGCCACTCCCTTCTGGCCTGCATAGTTTCTGTTGAGAAATCAGCTGACAGTCGTATGGGTACTCCCTTGTAGATAACTAACTGTTTTTCTCTTGCTGCTTTTAAGATTCTCTCTTTGTCTTTTGCTCTTGGCATTTTAATTATGATGTGTCTTGGTGTGGTCCTCTTTGGATTCCTTTTGTTTGGAGTTCTCTGCACTTCCTGGACTTGTAAGTCTATTTCTTTCACCAGGTAGGGGAAATTTTCTGTCATGATTTCTTCAGATAGGTTTACAATATCTTGTTCTGTCTCTTCTTCTGGCACCCCCATAATTCGGTTGTTGGCACGCTTGAAGTTTTCCCAGAGGCTCCTTACACTATCTTCATATTTTTGGATTCTTTTTCTTTTTGCTTTTTCGGTTGGGTGTTTTTTGCTTCTTTGTGTTTCAAATCTTTGACTTGATTCTTGCGATCCTCTAGTCTGCTGTTGGAACTCTGCACAATATCCTTTATTTCAGTCAGTGTATGCTTAATTTCTAGTTGGTCCTTTTTCATATCCTCGAGGGTCTCAGTAGATTTATCAAGGGTCTCACTAAATTTATCGGAAGTTTCTAGCAAATTCTTGAAAAACCTTAAAAGTGTGGTTTTGAACTCTATATCCAGTAGTTTGCTTTCCTCCATTTCTGTCATTTGTGACCTGTTTCTTTGTCTCTGCATTTTGTCTGCTTCCCTGTGTTGATAGAGTGGCTTTGTATGCTAGGTGTCCTATAGGGCCCAGTGGCCCCCACCCCCAAATTACCTGAGGTGGACAATCTTGGTGCACCCCTTTGTGGACTTTGTGCACAATCTTATTGTAGTTAAGCCTTAATTGTTGTAGGTATCACTGGGAGGAATTGACCTCCAGGCCTATTGGCTGTGAGGATCAGCTGTGACTACAGTGGGAGAACTTCTGTGCTGGAGACACCCTTCTGGGGCAAGACTTGCTTCAGTGGGGCTTTGGTGCTCACAGAGTCTGCCCCCTGAGTGTGTCCCTTATGGATCTGAGGAGTTGTAATCTGGATGGTCCCACTCTGACCACTGGGTACACTGGCTCTTGGATCTCTAAGGAGGTGCTAATTTAGCCTGTGCCTGAGGCTACCCAGCTGGAGCTACGGAGAGATCTGTAGATTCTTCTTCCAGCTTGAGGTTTGGAGGTGCCCAGATGAGGCCCAGCTATGAAGCAATGCAAGTTGCTGTGGGGCTTTGGGCCTTCTTTTGGAAGTTCTGGGTCTCTCTGACCCAGTTGCAGTTTGTTAGGTAATTTTCAGGTTGCAAAGGGCCATGCCATTCATATGCAAAAGCTTCTGAGCACAGCTTGGGTGGGGCGGGGTCTCAGGGAATCAACAGGGCGGGACAAACAGCTATGGCTGATATTCAGCCCTATCCTAAGAGGCCCCGGGTCTCAGTGTCCCATGGTAATCGCTGCAAGCACCTCTGAGAGAAAGCCGCCCTCAAGTTCCGCCCTATGCCAGACAGTCCAGTTTCTCCCTGTATGAGTCTGGGTCCCCAGAGACTCGCCCAGAACTGGAGTTCAGATCAGTTGGGAGCTTTTGAGTCCTCCCGATTGAAAAAGACAACTGCGTCCTCGTTTGCCAGCCCTTTCCATGTGCACCTCTGTACCTCTGTACTTTACTTCTGCACCTCCTCTGAGTCTCAGTGTGCTTTTCTCTTTCCTTCTAGTTGTAGAATTTCCACTCAGGCAGCCTTCCTGTGGTTCTGGATGATGTCACAAATGAAAGAAATGGAAGCAAGTAAACTTTAGGATACAGAGTTCAAAACCATACTTATAAGGTTACTCTCAAATTTTGTCTTTTAGTTATATTTTTGAAGTGCGAGGCATGAATTTCAGGTGTTTACTTATGCCGCCATTTTGGTTTTTCCTCTAGCCTTTCGCATTTTAATTATGATGTGTCTTGGTGTGAGCCTCTTTGGGGTACTCTTGTTTCGGACTCTCTGTGCTTCCTGAACATGTAAGTCTATTTATTTCACCAGGTAGGGGAAGTTTTCTGTCATTACTTCAAATAGGTTTTCAGTATTTTGCTGTCTCTCATCTCCTTCTGCCCCCCCTGCACCCCCTCCCCCCCCGTAATGCAAATGTTGCTATGCTTGAAGTTGTCCCAGACTTTCCTTATACTATCTTCATATTTTTGGATTCTCTTTTTCCCCTCTTCTGATTGGGTGTTTTTTGGTCCCTCATATTCCACATCGTTAATTTGAATCTCAGAGTCCTTTACTCTACTGCTAAATCCCTGTAAACTATTCTTTATTTCAGTTAGTGTATGCTTAATTTCTGACTGATCCTTTTGCATGATTTTGAATTTCTCACTAAGATCCTTGAGTAATCTTATAAGTATCGTTTTGAACTCTGTATCCTAAAGTTTGCTTGCTTCCATTTCTTTCATTTGTGACATGTTTTTTGTCTCCCCATTTAGGCTGCTTCCCTGTGTTAGGTAGACCTGCTGTATCTCCTGGAATTGATAGAGTGTTCTTGTGTAGTAGGTGTCCTGTAGGGGCCAGTGGCTCAGTCTCCCAAGTCATGTGAGCTGGGCACTCCAGGTATGTCCCTTTTTTGGCTGTGTACACAGTCTTGTAGTTGAGCCTTGATTGCTTTGGGCAGTCATTGGGAGGAATTGACATCCAGGCCAAATGGCTGTGAGGACCAGCTATGGCTCCAGTGGGAAATCTGCTGTGCAGGAAACACCCTATGGAGTAGGACTTGCTTCAATGGGACTTTGGTGCTCATTGAGCCTGCCCCTTGAGTGTGTCACTTGTGGATGTGTAGAGTTGTACTCTGGTATGATCTGAAGCTGTCCAACAGGTGCACTGGCTCTAGGACCTCTAGAGAGGTGCAAAGTCAGCCATTGCCTGGGGCCAGCCAACAGGTGCTATTTGTATTGGGCTTGGAGGTGCCCAGGCGAGGCCCAGCTATGAAGCAAGGCAGGCTCATGCTAGTTCAGGGTCTTGAGCCTTTTTTTTTTTCATAAGTTTGGAGCACATTGACCCAGCTGTAGCTTTTTTGAGAGAGTTTAGCAAAGTCTGAAGCCTGAGCAAGGACAGGCCATTCATATGCAAAAGCTGCTGCAGGCATGTTTGTTGGGCTGCAAATTGGATGGGACGGAGTCTTAGGGAATCACCAGGGCAGAGCAAATGGATATGGCTGCCAGTCAGCCCTGTAACCAGAGAGTTTCCAACATAGCAACAATGACCCTGCAATCACCTCCATCTGGGAGTTGGAGTTTCTGTCCTGATGCCAGACAATCCAGTTCCTCCCTGCTGGGTCCCCTAGAGCAGTGGTTCTCAACCTTCTGGCCCTTTAAATACAGTTCCTTGTGTTGTGACCCAACCATAAAATTATTTTTGTTGCTACTTCATAACTGTAATGTTGCTACTGTTATGAATTGTAATGTAAATATATGATATGCAGGATAGACTTAGGCAACCCCTGTGAAAGGGTCTTTCGACCGCCAAAGGGGTCACAACCCACAGGTTGAGAACCGCTGCCCTAGAGCCCCTTCTGGCACTAGGGCTCAGAGGAACTTTGTAAGTTCAGTTCATGTGCTGGCCCTTTAAGAGGAATAGCTAGGTCTCCAGTTGCCTCCTTGTCACTGAGCCCCAATCTCCACTGGTTTTTATATCTTGTAGTTATGGGAGCTTCTTTTTCCAGCTCTGGAACCCTGTGCTGGCAGTCTGGTTTGGGGATGGGGCCTCTTGTTCCTCACTGGGCGGCTTCCACAGAGACTATCTCCCTCCGAATTAAAAAAACAGCACATGTGTGTGTTGGACCAGCACTATCTGTGCCTCCATCCCTCCTACAAGTCTCAACGTGCTTTCTTCTTTACTTCTCTAGTTGTAGGACTTCCATTCAGTCAGCTTTCAGGCAGTTCTGCATGATGATTGTTCTGTATTTTAACTAATTTTGATGTGGTTATGGGAGGTGGCGAGTATAGTTATTTACCTATGTCCCCATCTTGGTTCTCTCCAAAGGTACTTATCCCTATGCTTTTGTTTGATTTTATCCTGCTTGGGGTTCACTGAGCATCCTGAATCTATAAATTTATGTTTTTCACCAAATTTTGGAAGTTTGTAACCAAATATTTTTCTTTCTCCTAGTAAGAAATATTTCTTGCCCTGACCAGTTTAGCCCAGTGGATAGAGCATCGGCCTGCGGACTGTAAGGTCCCAGGTTTGATTCTGGTCAAGGGCATGTACCTTGGTTGCGGGCACCTCCCCAGTAGGAGGTGTGCATGAGGCAGCTAATCAATGTTTCTCTTGCATCGATGTTTCTAACTCTCTATCCCTCTCCCTTCCTCTCTGTAAAAAATCAATAAAATATATTTAAGAGAAAAAAAGAAATACTTCTTCAAATATTTTTTTTTTATTCCTAGTACTTTTTCTTCTTCTTTTGGATTTCCAATTACTCATATGTTAGGCTTTTTACTATTACTACTAGAGACCCGGTGCACAAAATTTGTGCACTTACGGTGCGTCCCTCAGCCTGGCCTGTGCCCTCTCACAGTCCGGGAGCCCCGTGATCAATCGCCCCCGCAGAGTAAGGCCCTGTCCTCCTGCCACAGCACCGCCATGGGGTATCCTGGGCCTCCCTGTTTGGGGCAATCGATTGTGGGGCTCCGCTATTGATTCACCCAAAGAGGTAGGCCCTGCCCACCTGACGGGGATCTGCAATGGATCACCCCTGCAGAGGGAGGTCCTGGCCACTCGCTGTAGCCCACCGGTCAGTGGCCTAGGCTTCCCTCTTAGGGGCGATCATGGGGTCCCCTGATTGATCGATCGCTCCGCTGACCGGTGGCCTGGGCCTCCCTCTGCAGGGCAATCATGCGATGGATCATGTCCCCCAGAGGGAGGTACCACCCACCCGCTGCAGCCCACCAGTTGGTGGCCTGGGCCTCCCTCTTTAGGGCGATCGTGGAGCCCCCCGGTTGATCGATTGCCTCGACAGGCAGTGGCCTGGGCCTCCCTCTGCAGGGTGATCATGTGATCAATTGCACCCCACAGAGGGAGGGCCGCCCACCTGCTGCAGCCTACCAGTCGGTGGCCTTGGCCTCCCTCTTTGGGGCAATTGTGGAGCCCCCGGATTGATTGATTGCCCTTTTGGCCAGTGGCCTGGGCCTCCCTCTGCAGGGTGATCATGCGGTGATGGTTGGGCCCCCGACCAATTGCATCGCACCCGCCTTGGCTAGCCTGGTGCCAGTGGGTGTCATTGCGTGGTCGTCCAGAAGGTCGTCTGGACAGTCGTTTTGCTGTTTGGTTATTCGGTCAATTTGCATATTATGCTTTTATTATTATTACTAGAGACCTGATGCACAAAAATTCATGCAAGAATAGGCCTTCCTGCCCTAACTGGTTTGGCTCAGTGGATAGAGTGTTAGCCTTCAGACTGAAGGGTCCCAGGTTCGATTCCAGTCAATGGCACATGCCTGGGTTGCAGGCTCAATTCCCAGTGGGGGTCATGCAGGAGGCAGCTGATCAATGATTCTCTTGCATCATTGATGTTTCTCTCTCTCTCTCCCTCTCCCTTCCTCTCTGAAACCATTTTAAAAAAAAGAAGAGTAGGCCTTCCTTCTCCCAGCTGCCGACACCGGCATCCAGGATCTGGGCTGGCTCCCTTCGGCCGCCTGCAGGCACCTGGCAACAGAGCTGGCTTCCCCCAGGCCACCTGCAGGCACTCGAGACCTGGGCTGGCTTCCCCCAGCCTCTTGCATGCACCTGGGACCCCGGCTGGCTTCTCCTGGGCTGCCCACAGGCACCCGGGACCTAGGCTGGCTTCCTTAGGCACCTGGGACCCAGGCTGGCTTCTCCAGGGCTGCCTTCCCTGGGCCACCCGCAGCACCCGAGACTCCGGCTGTCTTCCTCAGGGCCGCCCACAGGCACCCGGGAGCCAGGCTGGCTTCCCTCAGGCCCTGGCTTCATCGGAAGGATGTTGGAATGATATTTGGAAGACATCTGGTCTAATTAGCATTTTAACCTTTTATTATTATAGACTAGAGGCACGGTGCACAAATATTCATGCACTGGGGGTGGTCCCTCAGGCTGGCCTGACCCCTCTCACATTCTGGGAGCCCTCAGGAGATGTCCTACTGATGGCTTAGGCCCGCTCCCCAGGGGAAGTAGGCCTAAGCTGCAGTCTGGCCTTCCTCTGTGGGAGGTGACCGGGCTGATCAGGGGATGGCGCCGCCCCATCACCCCACTGCTGCTGCCACTGCAGGCCGCCAGCCCTTCTCGGCCCTTGCAGCTACTGCAGCTTTGTCCAGAAGGACATCCGGAAGATGTCCAGTCTATCCTGTCTAATTAGCATATTATCCTTTTATTAATAGATAGATTACTCCACAGATTTCTGAAGCTCAGTTCCCTTTTCCTCATTTTTTTTCCTTCTGTGTTCTTCAGATTTTATGTCTGTTTAGCTGTCTTTAAATTCACTGTTTCTTCTTTCATTTCTATGTCGCTATTGAGCTCAACTAATAAATTTTTTAATTCTGGTATGATAAAGTTCTGAAATTCCCAGTTATGCTCTTTTGAAAACTTTTAAATTTTTCTCATGAGAATTTCTGTCTTTTCCTTTGCATTTATTTACAGTTACTTCATGAAACACAGTTAAAAATTCAATATGTGGATCATCTAAGGGTTGGTATTTTTCTTGACACTTAGTCATATTTTTCTGATTCTTCCCCTCCCCCCGCATTGACCCCCACCAGCCTGCCCCCACCCCCCTCCCCAGGCCCTCACCGCCCCATTAGCCATGCATATATGCATACAAGGTCCTTGGTTGATTACCTCCCTCCCACCCACCCTCCCCTACCTTCCCTCCGAGATTCTGCACTCTGTTCCATGCTTTCATGTCTCTGGATCCACTCGGTTTATCAGATTATTTTGTTACTTAGATTCCACATATAAGTGAGATCATGTGATACTTGTCTTTCTCTGACTGACTTATTTCACTTAGTGTTATATACTCCAGGTCCCTCCATGCTGTCTCAATGGGTAAGAGATACTTTTTTTTTTTTTTTTTTTTTTTTTTTACTGCTGAATAGTAATGAGTCTCATTCATTAAGGAAAGCAACAAACAACTAAAGCCACATGAGCACCAAAATTCATGAGATTAGTTTTTAAAGGTTTCCTTAATCATAAAGTTTTCTAATGAAAACAGAAACCCCTTTTCTCCTGTAGCCTTTCCAGCTCACTATTCAAGAGATTTGAATACTTCTATTAAAGCAGTTTAGAAGTATATAGGAAGCCCACTTTATCCTTGAATGGTGACTTCTGCCCAATATGCAGCCTCTCCTTCCTTTATTAATAATGCAATCCAAGTGAATATGCTGTGGGAAAAATAGTAATTTATACAGTGCCGCCCTCTGATAAAAGTGAAATAGCACTCAAAACAAAAGGCCACAGAGGGCTCATTGCAAATCCAGTAGGACTAAGAGAGGCCTTCAACTTTCCAAATAAACTTTGCAACTGGATCCAGGTGGAACATTGCCCTGCAGTAAGGAGTAGTGTATATGCAAATGAGCGGACCCAGCTTCTAAGAACTGTTACAGTGGCTTCCTGAGTCATCTTCTTTCTCTCCCATTCATATAAGAGAAAATACACACCTTAGCCTTGATTCTCACTCTCCACAAATCTGTCTGTACAGAGGTGTTTGTTTCTAAGTCTAAAACCTCAGCACAGGGTTGAGACATTTCATGAAATACTCTCTTCCACAGGCCAGGGTAGCATGGTATTTTACTTTTTTTTTGATGCAATTGTAAATGGTATGGTTTTCTTAGTTTCCCTCTCTGAGAGTTTATTATTGGTGAATGAAAATGTAACTGTTTCTGAAAGTTTATTTTGTAACCTGCTACTTTACTGAATTCATTTATCAGTTCTAGTAATTTTTTGGTGGAATCTTTAGGGGTTCCTATGTACAGTATCATGTCATCTGGGAATAAAGAGCTTTACTTCCTCCTTTCCAATTTGAATGCTTTTGATTTCTTCTTCTTGTCTGATCACTATGGCTAGGATTTCCAGTACTATGTTGAATAAGAGTAGGGAAAGTGGATATCCCTGTCTTGTTATTGATCTTAAGGGAAATGTTTTAAGTTTATCCCTGTTGAGTAGGATATTAACTGTAGGCTTGTCATATATGGCCTTTATCATGTTGAAATATGTGTCCTCTATTCCCACATTGCTGAGAGTTTTTAATCATAAATGGATGTTGGATTTTGTCAAATGCTTTTTCTGTATCTGTTGATATGATCATATGATTTTTGTCCTTCATTTTGTTTATCTCATGTATTACATTAATTGATTTGCAAATATTGAAACAACCCTCATCCCAGGAATACATTGTATAAAAAAGTGTATTTGTGATTATATCCTAAGTTATTTAAGGAATCATTTAATGTAATAATAAAATTACATAAACCTAATTTTTGCAGATGATTGAATTTTTAAACATGGTTTCACAAGAAGGAATGCTTGGAATCTCAGAGCTCTCATCCTACTTTTATTTTTGTGTTTTGTTTTGTTTTCTCCTTAGATTTGTCTGCTGCTTTAATTATAAAGATACTTGCTATATTTTAATGGTGCCTATATGATTACTTGAAAGAAGGAAACTCACTTTTTTTCCTTTGTAAACTTGCTTTTTCAAATACATTAGGAATAGAGAGTAAGGGGTGAAAGAAACAATAAGTATTCATACTTTAAATTGAAAACATGCTATCTCATCTAAATGTAATTTGAGGGGAAATTGATTTGAATCATTTATAAAACTGATTAAGGAGAGTCAAAGCATCAGATACATTTTATTATATATGTTAATTTTTTGGGATGTAAAACAATTGTAGCCACTTTATGAGAACAAGAAATTATTTTCTGTCTATGGACTATTTCTTCTACTTCTTAAGAGTAACTTAAATGTTAAATTTCAATCTTTAAAGCTATGGAAAACTAATTAATCTCTTTGGAAGGATCTGAAATCTTTCTTTGTTTTACCATTCTGCAATGTCAAATAGAAATAATTCCATTGAGTTTCTGTGGTGTATTTTTCTGAGCAGAAACTTTATTGCAGCTTAATAAGTTTTAATAGGTATTTCACAATTGCATTTAATGCTTGGTTAGCATTTTGATAGACTATACAGTTTTTATAAATTATTTGCAACATTAGTCATGTCTGCTTAAACATGCTGATTAAAGTTCTTTTGATTCAAGGAGTTCTAATTTTTAATTTATGTTTAGTACTTTTTTTTTGTGTTTGTTTTTTTGTTTTTTGTTTTTTTTGAGGTTTTTTATTTTTTTTTTATTGCTTAAAGTATTACAAAAAGTATTACATATGTCTCCTTTTTTTTCCCCCCGCCCTTGACAATCCCCTGGCCTCCCCTACCCCCCAGTGTCTTATGTCCATTGGTTATGCTTATATGCATGCATACAAGTCCTTTGGTTGATCTCTTACCCACCCCCCTACTGCCCTCCCACCCTCCCCGGCCTTCCTGCTGTAGTTTGACAGTCTGTTTGAGGCAGCTCTGCCTCTGTATCTATTTTTGTTCATAAGTTTATAATGGTCTTTATTATCCAGAAATGAGTGACATCATGTGGTATTTTTCCTTCATTGACTGGCTTATTTCACTTAGCATAATGCTCTCCAGTTCCATCCATGCTGTTGCGAAGGGTAAGAGTTCCTTCTTTTTTATAGCAGCATAGTATTCCATCGTGCAGATGTACCACAGTTTTCTAATCCATTCATCTACAGATGGGCACTTAGGCTGTTTCCAGATCTTAGCTATGGTGAATTGTGCTGCTATGAACATAGGGGTGCATATATCCTTTCTGATTGGTGTTTCTTGTTTCTTGGGATATATTCCTAGAAGTGGGATCACTGGGTCAAATGGGAGTTCAATTTTTAACTTTTTGAGGAAACTCCATACTGTCTTCCATAGTGGCTGCACCAGTCTGCATTCCCACCAGCAGTGCACAAGTGTTCCTATTTCTCCACATCCTCTCCAGCATTTTGTCGTTTGTTGATTTGTTGATGATAGCGAGTCTGACAGGTGTGAGATGGTACCTCATTGTTGTTTGGATTTGCATCTCTCGGATGATTAGTGACTTTGAGCATGTTTTCATATGTCTCTTGGCTTTCTGAATGTCCTCTTTTGAAAGGTGTCTATTTAGATCCTTTGCCCATTTTTTGATTGGATTGTTTATCTTCCTTTTGTTAAGTTGTATGAGTTCCCTATAAATTTTGGAGATTAGGCCCTTATCAGATATGACATTGGCAAATATGTTTTCCCACACAGTGGGTTTTCTTGTTGTTTGTTGATGGTTTCTTTTGCTGTGCAGAAGCTTTTTATTTTGATGTAGTCCCACTTGTTTATTTTCTCTTTAGTTTCCAATGCCCTAGGAGCTGTATCGGTGAAGAAATTGCTTCAGCATATGTCTGAGATTTTGTTGCCTTTGGATTTTTCTAGTATTTGTATGGTTTCCCTTCGTATATTTAAGTCCTTTATCCATTTTGAGTTTATTTTTGTGTATGGTGTAAGTTGGTGGTCTAGTTTCATTTTCTTGCATGTATCTGTCCAATTTTCCCAACACCATTTACTGAAGAGACTATCTTGGCTCCATTGTATGTTCTTGCCTCCTTTGTCAAATATTAATTGAGCGTATTGGTTGCGGCTGATTTCTGGGCTCTCTATTCTATTCCATTGATCTATATGTCTGTTCTTGTGCCAGTACCAGGCAGTTTTGAGAACAGTGGCTTTGTAATACATCTTGATATCTGGTATTGAGATCCCACCTACTTTGTTCTTTCTCAGGATCGCTGCAGCTATTCGGGGTCGTTTTTTATTCCAGATGAATTTTTGGACAGTTCGTTCTAGATCTCTGAGGTATGCCATTGGTATTTTAATGCGAAGTGCGTTGAATTTATAGATTGCTTTTTGTAGTATGGACATTTTAATGATGTTGATTCTACCAATCCATGAACACGGTATGTTCTTCCATCTGTTTATGTCTTCCTCTATATCTTTTTTCAACGTCCTGTAGTTTTCTGAGTAGAGGTCTTTTACCTCTTTAGTTAAGTTTATTCCTAGGTAGCTTAATTTTTTTGGTGCGATGGTAAACGGGATTGTTTTTATAATCTCTCTTTCTGAAAGTTCACTATTGGTGTATAGAAATGCCTCAGATTTCTTGGGGTTAATTTTGTATCCTGCTACATTGCCAAATTCATGTATTAAGTCTAGTAGCTTTTTGATGGAGTCTCTAGGGTTTTGTATGTATAATATCATGTCGTCTGCAAATAAGGACAGTTTTACTTCCTCTTTTCCAATTTGGATGCCTTTTATTTCTTCTTCTTGCCGAATTGCAATGGCTAACACTTCCAGTACCATGTTGAACAGGAGTGGTGAGAAGGGGCATCCCTGTCTTGTTCCTGTTCTTAGGGGAAATGGTGTTAGTTTTTGTCCATTGAGTATGATGTTGGCTGTGGGCCTGTCATATATGGCTTTTATTATGTTGAGGTATGATCCTTCTACTCCCACCTTGCTGAGAGTTTTTATCAAAAATGGGTGTTGAATTTTATCAAATGCTTTTTCTGCATCAATTGATATGACCATGTGGTTTTTTCTTTCAATTTGTTTATGTGATGTATCACGTTTATTGATTTGCGGATATTGTACCATCCTTGCATCCCTGGGATAAATCCTACTTGGTCACGGTGTATGATCTTTCTGATGTACTGCTGGATCCGATTTGCTAAGATTTTGTTGAGGATTTTGGCATCTATGTTCATGAGGGATATTGGCCTGTAATTCTCTTTCATTGTGTTGTCTTTACCTGGTTTTGGTATTAGGGTGATGCTGGCTTCATAGAATGAGCTTGGAAGTGTTCCTTCCTCTTGAATTTTTTGTAGTAGTCTGAGGAGGATAGGTTTTAGTTCTTCCTTGAATGTTTGGTAAAACTCCCCTGTGAAGCCGTCTGGTCCTGGGCTTTTGTTTGATGGAAGCTTTTTGATGACTGCTTCAATTTCTTCCATAGTTATTTGCCTGTTGAGATTTTTAGATTCTTCCTGATTGAGTTTTGGAATGTTGTATTTTTCTAGGAATTTGTCCATTTCCTCCATGTTGTCTAGTTTGCTGGAGTAGAGTTGTCCATAGTATTTTTTAACAATCATTTGTATTTCTGTGGGATCTGTTGTTATTTCGCCTCTATCATTTCTGATTTTGTTTATTTGGGTCCTTTCTCTTTGCTTCTTGGTGAGACTGGCTAGAGGTATGTCAATCTTGTTTATCCTTTCAAAGAACCAGCTCTTGGTTTCATTGATATTCTGTATTGTTTTTTTGGTCTCTATGTCATTTATTTCTGCTCTAATCTTTATTATCTCCTTCCTTCTGCTCACTCTGGGCTTTTCTTGTTGCTCTCTTTCTAATTCTTTGAGCTGTAGATTTAGATGATTTACTACCATTTTTTCTTGTTTTTTGAGATAGGCCTGTAGAGCTATAAACTTCCCTCTCAGGACTGCTTTCATTGCGTCCCAAAGGTTTTGGATTGTTGTGTTTTCATTGTCATTAGTTTCCAGGATGTTTTTAATTTCTTCTTTGATCTCATTGGTAACCCAATCAATATTTAATAACGTGCTATTCAGCTTCCAAGTGTTTGAGTATTTTGAGTTGTTTTTGTTGTAGTTTATTTCTAATATTATGGCCTTGTGGTCCGAGAAGATGCTTGGTATGATTTCAATCTTCTTGAATTTGGGGAGACTTTGTTTGTGACCCAATATGTGGTCTATTTTTGAAGATGTCCCATGAGCATCTGAGAAGAATGTATATTTTGTGGCTTTGGGGTGAAGTGTTCTGAAGATGTTAATTAAGTCCATCTGATCTAGTGAGTCATTTAGGATTGCTGTTTCTTTGCTGAGTTTTTGTCTAGCGGATTTATCCAGTGATGTCAGTGGTGTATTAAAGTCCCCTACTATGATTGTATTGTCGTGAATCTCTCCCCTGAAATCTTCCAGGAGTTTTCTTATGTATGTGGGTGCTCCTGCATTGGGTGCATATATGTTTATCAGGGTTATATCCTCTTGTTGTAGTGATCCCTTTAGTATTATGAAGTGGCCTTTCTTATCTCTTGTAATGGCCTTCACTTTGAGGTCTATTTTGTCTGATATAAGTATTGCTACCCCAGCTTTTTTTTCATTTCCATTTGCCTGAAAGATATTTTTCCATCCCTTCACTTTCAGTCTTTGTGAGTCCCTTCTAATGACGTGGGTTTCTTGTAGACAGCGAATATATGGGTCATGTTTTTTATCCATTCAGCCACTCGATGTCTTTTGATTGGACCATTTAGTCCATTTACGTTTAAAGTTATTATTGAAAGGTACTTGTTTGTAGCCATTTCTACTTTTTGTGTGGCTGTTTTCTTTCTGGGCTTTGTAGTTCTTCTTTTTACACCAGTCCCATTAGCATTTCCTGTATCGCTGGCTTGGTGGTGATAAACTTCCTTAGCCTTTTTTTGTCTGTGAAGCTTCTTATTTCCCCTTCAATTTTGAATGATAGCCTTGCTGGATAGAGTATTCTTGGATTCAGTCCTTTGCTTTGCATCACTTTGTAAATTTCTGTCCATTCTTTTCTGGCCTGATGTGTTTCTGTTGAGAAATCATTTGAGAATCTGATGGGGGATCCTTTGTAGGTAACTCTCTGTTTCTCTCTTGCAGCCTTTAAGATTCTGTCTTTGTCTTGTACATTTGCCATCGTTATTATGACGTATCTTGGTGTGGGTCTTTTGAGGTTCATCTTGCCTGGTACTCTCTGTACTTGTGTAACTTTTTTCTTCCCCATATCAGGGAAGTTTTCTGACATTATTTCTTCAAATAGATTTTCTAATCCTTGCTGCTCTTCTTGTCCTTCTTGCAGCCCTATTATGCGTATGTTACTTCGTTTCATGTTGTCCCGAAGCTCCCTTAGGCTCTCCTCCTGCTTTTTAATTCTTTTCTCTAGTTGCTGTTCAGATTGAGCTTGTTTCTCTGCCTTATCTTCTAATTCACTAATTCGGTCCTCTGCTTCTTCTAGTCTGCTTTTGAAACTTTCCATGGTGTTTTTGATTGTAGCTATATCACTTTTCATTTCTTCCTGATTCTTGCATTGGTTGTTGATTTTCTCATCCATCCGGTGAATGAATTGTACAACCATTATTCTGAATTCTTTTTCTGTCATGTTGCAAGCTTCAACTTCATTAATGTCCTTTCTTGGTGACTCCTCATTGTCTTTCCTCTGGGTGTTGTTTCGTCTCTTCATTCTGATTATCTCCCGATGGTTCAAACGTCGAGTTGCGTGGGCCTGGGCCGTGTGCAGTGGGAGCCTCCCACAACCCTAGTGTCACCGAAGAGCTCTGACACTAAGATGTGTGGTTGTTGTGGGTTGGTGGGAACCAGGCTCACTCAGAGTCAGTGTTGTCAGCGCTCAATGTGGCCTCGTATGCACCCTTAGAGTCAGGGACCCTGCCTGCACCGTGCTGAAAAAGGGACCCCCCCTGAAGAGTGTTGAAAACCAGAGCCCCCTAGCGTGCGCCAGGAGTCAGAGTTCCCCAGAATCCAGTATCAGAGTCTCTGTTGCTTCGCCCAACCTTGCCTTGAGAATCAGGTTCCCTATGTGCCCTTGCACCAGGAATTGGAGTCACTGGCTCTTAGTATGAATGCACAGGAAATCAGGATCTCAGGCACAGGTGAAAAGAAACACAGTCAAGTCACTGGTACTTGGTGCTGCCACCTGCCCAGAGAATCGGGGTTCCTGGGCCTGTGATATGTGGGACAAATTCCCGGTGTTCGCGCGATTGCTCCCAGCCCAGGGCTCAGAAGCCGGCAGTGCGCCTAGGCTCAGTTCCTGGGGTTCGCGCGTTTGCTTCCAGCCCAGGGCTCAGAAGCTGGCAGTGCGTGTAGGGTCAGTTCCAAGGTGCTCGGAGCACTTCCAGGCTAAAGTTCCTGGAGCGCTGAGGCCCCGGCAAGGGGAGGGTCTATCAGTTAGTTACTCTGGTGCTGTCCGCAAACCTGCGGGAAGAGGGGATGGGCTCTGTTACTCACGGATCTGCCGCGGGGATTTCTGAACTTTTGGTGTCCGCAGGTCTGTAGCTGTGGTCACAGGTCTCTGTCCCCAGTGGCTGCAGGGTCCTGGTATGCGTCTGAGATCAGACTGGGTGGTGCTGAGGCCGGGCTCGTAGTCTCAAGCAGCTCTGTTTCCCAAGATGGCGTGGTCGCCGTGCCTGTGCTGGCCGCCCAGGAGTGTCCGCCTTTTTAGTACTGTTAGTGACAAGGAATCCTTACCTAATTTTTAAATAAAATATTTTTCCCTCCTAGCAACATGATGCAGAAGTTGCACACTTAACTGAGGTTCTCAAGGATAAGAACAAAGAAAGCAAGAGGCTAAGGTCTTCTTTTGATGCTTTGAAAGAATTGAATGATAACTTAAAAAAACAGGTAAGATCCATTTTAATATATATTAGATTATAAGACATTCTTGGTACTATATGGTTTATATTTAACAAATTATAAGTCAATCTTAGAACATCTGGCTAGAGAAATGTTTGATTAACTTTGCTTGTAGCTTTATTACAAAATACTTCTCATATAAAATATTCTTAAGCTTTTGCTTTCTCATCATCTGTTCTGGCAACCAGCTGAGAAGTTTGGCAAGTTGAAATCTTTAAAAATATAAAAGCAAGTACTATATTTAAAAACAAGCCAAAGGAAAAACCCCAATAACCTGGGGACTTTTAACTGCTCTTAAGTGCTTATTTAATATTCATTTATTTTGTGGGCATCTATTAATATACTAGGCACTGTATTAGAAGGAAGTCTTTACATTGTTCATACTCTTGTGAGTATATTAGTAGACTGGTATCATATTGCACTGTAATTATTTATTTATACTAGAGGCCTGATGCACAAAAATTGGTGCACTTGGGGGGTCCCTCAGCCCGGCCTGTGCTCTCTTGCAGTCTGGGACCCCTCGGAGGATGTCCACCTGTTGGCTTAGGCCCGCTCCCCAGGGGATCGAGCCTAAGTTGGCAGTCAGACATCCCCCCGGCAGCCCGGGAGCCCTCGGGGGATGTCCACTTGCCAGCGGGGAGCCGGCCTAACCTGCAGTCGGACATCTTTAGCGCTGCTGAGGAGGCGGGAGAGGCTCCCACCACAAACACTGTGCTGGTAGCCTTCAGCCTGGCTTGTGGCTGAGCAGAGCTCCCCCTGTGGGAGCACACTGACCACCAGGGGTAGCTTCTGCATTTAGTGTCTGCCCCCTGGTGGTTAGTGTGTGTCATAGTGACCAGTCATTCCTAGTGGTTCTGCTGTTAGGGTCAATTTTCACATTACCCTTTTATTATATAAGATAGAGGCCTGGTGCACGGGTGGGGGCCAGTTGGTTTGCCCTGAAGGGTGTCCTGGACCAGGGTGGGGGTCCCTCTGGGGTGCCTGGTTAGCCTGGGTGAGGGGCTGAGGGCTGTTTGCAGGCTGGCCACAGTCCCTTCAGGGTCGGGGGGGCCCAGCTGGGGTGCCTGGCCAGCTTGGATGAGGGGCTGAGGGCCCTTTTCAGGCTGGCCACATACCCTTCAGGGTGGGGGTTCCCACTGGGGTGACTGCCCAGCCTGGGTGAGGGGCTGAGGGCTGTTTGCAGGCTGGTCAAGCCCCCCAGTGGGGACCTTCATCCCATGGGGGTGTGGCCAGCCTAGATGAGGGGCTGATGGCTGTTTGCAGGCTGGCCACAGCCCCTTCAGGGTGGTGGGGTCCTGCTGGGGTGACTGGCCAGCTTGGGTGCGGGGCTGAGGGCCATTTGCAGGCTGGCCAGATACCCTTCAGGGTGGGGGGTTCCCACTGTAGTACCTGGCCAGCCTGGGTGAGGGGCTGATGGCTGTTTGCAGGCTGGTCAAGCCCCCCAGTGGGGACCCTCACCCCATGGGTGTTTGGCCAGCCTGGGTGAGGGGCAGAGGGCTTTTTTCAGGGTGGACACAGCCCCTTCAGGGTGAGGGTCCCCACTGGGGTGCCTGGCCAGCCTGGGTGAGGTTCTGATCGTTTTTTTCAGGCTGGCCACAGCCTCTTTAGGGTGGGGGGCCCTACTGGGCTGCCTGACCAGCCTGGGTGAGGGGCTGATGGCCGTTTTTAGGCTGGCCATGTCCGCAGGCTGGAAGCAGGTATCTGGGATTTATTTAACTTCTATAATTGAAACTTTGTAGCCTTGAGCGGAGCCCAGGTCCTGGAAGCCTGGGTTGCCCCTGGCAACCGAGGCTCTCAGTCCCTCCTTGAGCGGAGGCCACGGCAGCTAGAAGCAGGTATCTGGGATTTATTTATCTTCTAGAATTGAAACTTTGTAGCCTTGAGCGGATCTCAGGGCCATCTGGGCAGGCGGGAAGCTTGGCTTCCTCCATTGCCGGGGGCAATGCTCCAGCTCCATGGCCACTGCCATTTTAGTTGGGTGAATTTGCATATTTGCTCCTGATTGGCTGGTGGGCGTGGCTTGTGGGTGTAGCAGAGGTATGGTCAACTTGCATGTTTCTCTTTTATTAGATTAGACTAGAGGCCCAGTGCACAAAAATTCGTGCACTTGGGAGGGTCCCTCAGCCTGGCCTGTGCCCTCTCGTAGTCTGGGACCCCTCGGGGGATGACCAGCTGCTGGCTTCGGCCCGCTCCTCGGGGGATTGGGCCTAAGCTGGCAGTCAGACATCCCTCTGGCAGCCTGGGAGCCCTTGGGGGATGTCCACTTGCCAGCAGGGAGCAGGCCTAGCTGCAGTCGGACATCCTTAGCGCTGCTGAGGAGGCGGGAGAGGCTCCCATCACCACCGCTGTACTGGCAGCCGTCAGCCTGGCTTGTGGCTGAGCAGAACTCCCCCTGTGGCGGCACACTGACCACCAGGGGGCAGCTCCTGCATTGAACGTCTGCCCTCTGGTGGTCAGTGTGTGTCATAGTGACCAGTGATTCCCAGTCGCTCTGCTGTTAGGGTCAATTTGCATATTACCCTTTTATTATATAGGATAGAAGCCTGTTGCATGGGTGGGGGCCGTCTGGTTTGCCCTGAAGGGTGTCCTGGATCAGGGTGGGGGTCCCCGCTGGGGTGCCTGGCCAGCCTGGGTGAGGGGCTGATGGCTGTTTGCAGGCTGGCCATGGCCCCCAGCCACCCAAGCTTCCAGTGGAGGCTGGCTGGAAGCATGTATTGTTAAGCCCAGATTTCAGGATCACCAAAAGTCCACCAGGGAGCCAGCCGAGTCCGATGCAAAAGCAGATAGAGTCTTTATTCGGGGTAGCTCGAGCTCCCCCCACACTCGCTGATGCAGAGGCTGGGGCAGAGAGAGAGTGAGCTCTGTGGGGAGAGGGGTTTTATAGGGGGGTTGGAGTAAGGGGAGGAGAGAGGACTATGGGCCCTGCCAATTGGCCAGGCGCAAGTCGGTGTCTTGTTACACAGGATGTGGTCGTATCTATGGTGCGCACTTCCCTTGATTATCATTGGTTAGTTTAAAGAAATCCTACGTGTGGCTAGCAGAGGCTTGGGCTTCTGGGAAGAAGCTCCTTGCCAAGCACATGGCTAAGGCTGCTGCCCAAAAATGGAGGATCCGGGGTAAGATGGAGGGCGTAGCCCTCGACCTTTCAGTATCTGGGATTTATTTAGCTTCTATAATTGAAACTTTGTTGCCTTTAGTGGAGGCCATAGCTGGCCAGGGCAGGCGGGAAGCTTGGCTTCCTCCATCGCCCAGGCAACCAAGCCTCCTGCTTGCTCCAGCTCCGTGGCTGCCGGCCGCCATCTTGGTTGGGTTACTTTGCATATAGTTGCTCTCATTGGATGGTGGGCGTGGCTTGAGCATAGCAAAGGTACGGTCAGTTAGCATCTTTGTCTTTTTTTTTTTTAATTAAATCTTTATTGTTCAGATTATTACATTTGTTCCTCTTTTTTCCCCCCCATAACTCCCCTCCTCCCAGTTCCCACCCCACCCTCCGCCCTCACTCCCCACCCACTGTCCTCATCCATAGGTGCACGATTTTTGTCCAGTCTCTTCCCGCATCTCCCACACCCCTTCCCCTGCCAAGAATAGTCAGTCCATTCCCTTTCTATGTCCCTGATTCTATTATAATCACCAGTTCATTCTGTTCATCAGATTATTTATTCACTTGATTCTTAGATTCACTTGTTGATAGATGCATATTTGTTGTTCATAATTTGTATCTTTACCTTTTTCTTCCTCTTCTTCTTCTTAAAGGATACCTTTCAGCATTTCATATAATCCTGGTTTGGTGGTGATGAACTCCTTTAGCTTTTCCTTATCTGTGAAGCTCTTTATCTGACCTTCAATTCTGAATGAAAGCTTGGCTGGATAAAGTAATCTTGGTTGTAGGTTCTTGGTATTCATCACTTTGAATATTTCTTGCCATTCCCTTCTGGCCTGCAAAGTTTCTGTTGAGAAATCAGCTGACAGTCATATGGGTATTCCCTTGTAGGTAACTGAGTTTCTTTCTCTTGCTGTTTTTAAGATTCTCTCTTTATCTTTTGCTCTTGGCATTTTAATTATGATGTGTCTTGGTGTGGTCCTCTTTGGATTCCTTTTGTTTGGGGTTCTCCGCGCTTCTTGGACCTGTAAGTCCATTTCTTTCACCAGGTGGGGGAAGTTTTCTGTCATTATTTCTTCAAATAGGTTTTCAATATCTTGGTCTCTCTCATCTTCTGGCACCCGTATAATTCTGATGTTGGTACGCTTGAAGCTGTCCCAGAGGCTCCTTACACTATCCTCGCATTTTTGGATTCTTTTTTCATTTTGCTTTTCCGGTTGGGTGTTTTTTGCTTCCTCGCATTTCAAATCATTGACTTGATTCTTGCGCTCCTCTGGTCTGCTGTCGGGAGTCTGTATAATATTCGTTATTTCAGTCCGTGTATGCTTAACTTCTAGTTGGTTCCCCAATATAACATCGAGGGTCTCATTAGTTTTCTTGTAGATCTCATTGAGTTTATCGGCGGCTTCTAAACAGTTCTTGAGAGACCTTAAAAGTGTGGTTCTGAACTCTATATCTTCCATTGACAATTTTGTCCTGTTTCTTTGTCTCCGCATTTTGTTATGCTTCCTTGGTGCACCCCCTAGTGGTCTTTGTGCGCAGTCTTATAGTTAAACCTTGATTGTTGTAGCTAATACCAGGGAGGGTTTGACCTCCAGGCCAAGTGGCTATGAGAATCAGCTGTGTCTGCAGTGAGAGAACTTCTGTCCTCTAGGGAGGTGCTAATCTAGCCTTTGCCTGAGGCTATCCGGCAAATGCCTCTGTGCAGGGCTTGGGCGGGGCGGGTCGCACAGGATCAACAGGGTGGGACGGAGAGAGCAGTTATGGCGGCTCTCAGTCCTGTCCCCAGGGGCTCTGCCTCTCAGAGTCCCAGCACCCGCTGCAAACCTCGGAGAGAAAGCTGCACTCGCTCTGACCGAAGCCAGACAGTCCCGCTTCTCCCGTTTGA